ACAATGCGACTCAATGGGTTAACTATGTACACATGGGCAGATACTGCTACTGAAACGACTTTTATATAATTATGTGATTACAGCTCGGAATTACAGTGGGTTCTGCATATATAAAGATTTTCTCTGGATTCGATGTTTCACTATTTAGTATCGAGTAAAATCAACAAATAATTATGGGTCAAACGAGGATGAGAGTATTTTAAAGTTGAAACATAGTTGCAGAACACTCATCAAAGCTTTAATAATATTTTGTTCATCTGGAACTTGAAATGTCCTTTGTGTATTGATAAGCAATTCATGCATGACTTTCATCCTGATTTGACAGAGGCTATATAAATCTAAAATACCAGTTTAAAAACTTACATTATCAAATGAACCAGTGTTGCCAGTATGCCTGATTCAGGAGATGATTCTTGATTGGGCAAAGTTAAACTAGACTGGGCTACTAGCAAGTGATATGTCGCAGGATTTGAGCTAGTAGTGAACTGGATATTTCAATGTTGTGTGCACTTTTTTCATCGTCGCTGTTACTTTCAACTAGAACCTACATATACAAAAAATAAATAATCTTACATTCGTATCGTAAACGTGAAGCTATAAGAACATATTTTGAATAATTGATGTCCGCTGTCGTGATTTGGCCATCAGCAAACAACAGTCGTCGACACGAAGGTGAAGAAAGTAAATAACATTTGCCAGAATTAGGCTAGTACAGCACGAGACGTTTCTTGAACGTATTTTCCTAATAAATTGTTTATTTGTTCAAAATATACTGCAACGAACGAGGTTTTACGCTTGTATTTTATCCGTATCCCTCGTCGAAGCAAATCCCAACGGCCAACGTTCGATAATGGCGCCAAAAGTTAGTACGCATGCTCGAGAATGATCGCAAACCCGATTGCTTACGGGCGCGTGCATTCTCGTTCCCAGTTCCCGCGATCATTAATATTAATATTACACCTAGGCCTTATTCTATGATTACACGTTCAATTCTCGTGATTAATTTTTACAAATACCGTATTTATATTTACGATAATATTACTAAAAATCTGGAAAACAAATTTCAATCCCCTACAAAATGAAACATCAAATCTCACCTTGTATAAATTAATCCAAAAAACGTCCTCTTCTTTTTCTTTGCGAGCATGTGCATTATGCGGAAGTTAATTTGATACGATCATACGACGGACGATCGACACAATTAAGAGTCGATTTGACGGAAGGGTCGATTTGACACAATATTAATAGTCGATTTGACACAATTAAGAGTCGATTTGACAGAAGAGTCGAATTGACACATTTACGAGTCGATTTGGCACATTTAAGAGTCGATTTGACAAAAGGGTCAATTTGACACAATTAAGAGTCGATTTGACACAAGGGTCGATTTGACACATTTAAGAGTCGATTTGACAGAAGGGTCGATTTGACACAATTAAGAGTCGATTTGACAGAAGGGTCGTTTCGACAAAAGGGTCGATTTCATTCCAGGGTCGATTTGACCTATGCGAGAGTCGTTCCGCGATGGTGAGCCGAAACGAAGCTCATAGGGGCCAATGTGTTGATCAAAAGCGGCCCCTTTATGTGGGGCCAAAACAAACCCGGACGTGAGAGTCGTTTTGGTCTGTGGGGCCATATTGGCAATTGATGGGGCTAAATTGGAAAATGATGGGTCCGTTACGGCAAAGGGTAGGGCCAATTTGGCTTTCCTCCATACCTAAAATGGCTCCGTCGGTGCCGATCCAGCTCTCCAATGCCAAAATGGCTTTCACATAGGGCCAAAACAGCTTTGGCCCCAAAAGGGCTGAAACGGAATTTGGGGTCGATTTGGCCCTTTTTAATTTACAGTGTATCTCTTTGGGCACGGGGATCGCCTTCATTGGTGTTGTCTTCGTTGTCCTTTGAGTTGTGTTAGTATACTCTTGTCCGTCTTATGACGTTTTAATTGTGTTATTTTGTTGATATGTCATGTGGCTTGTAATGTCGTTCTGCTCTGCTCTGCTCTGCTCTGCTCTGCTCTGCTCTGCTCTGCTCTGCTCTGCTCTGCTCTGCTCTGCTCTGCTCTGCTCTGCTCTGTTTGTGTTTTATAGGCGCAGTGGTCTTTACTAAACCTCGCTCGGTTGGCGGGGACATTTAATCACATTGCTCAGAAGAAAGCTAGCAGTTTTCAGCCGAAAATTTAGCAAAATTTTTAAAAAACTTTTTAACATTAGAATGTTTTTAATTAGATCAGTTACAAAATTCAAAGTTACTATGTATTCTACTGATCGCCTCAACAGTATATATATATATATATATATATATATATATATATATATATATATATATATATATATATATATATATATATATATATATATATATATATGCTACTTACATATATGTATTTCAGCGCCGGGAAATTCGAACGCGCGCGAACAAACAAGTTAACGCGTCAGCGAACGGTTGATGATGATGCAATCACGTAATCAGTAACAAAATCGTGAACAAAATCGCCTGATGATCGTCTAGAAAGGACGTGAAACTCAGAGTAGCGATATTTAATTTTAAGATATAGACAATCTATATATATATATATATATATATATATATATATAGTATATACGATATATATAGTATATACGATATATATATATATAGATATATATATATATATATATAAAGATATACATATATATATATAAAGAGATATATATATATATATATAATATATATATATATATATATATATATATATATATATATATATATATATATATATATATATATATATATAATTTATATCTTTCAGCTTCAGTTAACTTTCAATTACTTTAAAATGCACCTTTTGAATAACCAGGTGTGTTTATATTTAATACTTTGTCTTTGTATATAAGTCGTTCAAATCATCGTCATTGTTTCTCTTCAACAAAATCGTAACCCTTTAAAAGTTTTATAAGCAGCTGATGTAAGGTCGATGTATGAGGTCGATGTAGGGTCGATGTGAGGTCGATGTAGGGTCGATGAGAGGTCGATGTGAGGTTGAAGAGAGGTCGATTCTCTGGGGATGTGTAGGGGTTCTGTACGGGTTCTGTAGGGGTTCTGTGGTGGTTCTGTGGGGGTTCTGTAAGGGTTTTGTAGTGGTTCTCTGTTTGTAAACACCAGTACGTAACGGGACTTATGAGCACCTGTTCAGAACAACTCATGAGCAGGCATAAGGCATTTCTACACAGTCAGTACTAACGGAATAAGCTGCCAATTTTGCGGAAAGCAATTTAACTGTAGTTACAATCTACGAAGACACGAGTCCACTGCGCGGAACAAGAAAGAAACGTGTCTCAAACAGACTCGGATGGCCAGGAAAGGGATTTCCAAGACGGTGTTTCCACAACTTCAACTCATGGGTCTGAGATTTCGACTGATAATGAAACTGAAGAAGAAATGGACCCTTGGATACCGTTGATAGAAGAAGCAAAGCAAAGAAGTAATATAGCTTTTGAGGAAATGAAAGAAAGCCTTATAAACAATGGTCTAGATGAACAATCCGCGAAGGACAATCCTTACTCTAATATTCTGCCTGAACTCCAGAAGGAACTGGAAAATATTTATATGGAGCGTCTCGTGTAGATGAGACAACTAAAGAAAGATCCAGCACATAAGAAAATTAGGCAGACAAAGGATGCGCTTGAGGAAAACGATGACCTTGATCCAGAGTAAGCTATGGAAGCTGATATTGATAAGAGGAAAATTCTTATAAAACGGCTGTTAAAGGACTACGATTTTGCTGAAGGGAACAATGATGATGATTTGAACATGCAAAAACATACCAATATTATAAAGACACGGCATGTAAACTTAAAGTCATTAAATAAATTACTTTTCCTGTCTTTTCTTGTAATTTTTACATGGGTCGATCGGATACATGCACAATGAAATGGCAAAACCGCGCGAAAATGCATACATATGTGTACTAATCAATTTTCTGCAGCGACTTCAACAAGCGAAGAATGTACTCTGTCTTCGGGCCATCGGGCCTAAACGTACCTTATGAGCAGATGAGCATGTGCTCATGAGCAGTTATGAGCATGTGCACATAAGCTCATTAGTGTTTGTGACTCCCTATTTAGAAAATTTATTCTTTGGTTTTATTGTGTTTCATTGTTATAATCAGCCATGCAATCACAGAACCTATAGCGTCAAGATCACCCTATTTTGCATGGGGTAGAACAGTTCTGAACAAAGGCAAATGACCCATAACAATGGTACAATCCTTGTATGATTCGGTCGTCAGAATTTTCATTGTTTGGAAGCTCTCGCCATTCCCCATGCGATCCAGCCTCGTATTATTTTCAGTTTTATACAAAAGCCAATATTCAAAATAATTTTTTGTCTTGTACAGGGTGTATCAAAAAAACGTACACCCTTTCAAATTGAAATTAGCCATAACTTTTAAATATTCGTTGCTCTGCAGTAAGCTAGCCCATTTTATATCTTATGCAGACTTGAATAATCTTAATTTAAACATTGTTCTTTGAGTTGTGTATTTGTTCATACAGATAGAAGTTATCTTAAATTCCCATGTGCAGAAGACCTTGTGTTTTCACGCATCATTAATTCGAGAAATTATACGGCTGTCAAATTACTACAATACAGGGTCTATAAAAAAGAATTAGAAATCCACTTTGCAATTCTTAAGCATAAAAGATTTTAGGCCCCTGGGGATTGAAATCGAATTGGTAATAGATCATATTACTGTTGTTGTACTGTACTTGTAAAATAACAACTTATTAAGTGTACTGTCATTAATTAAATGCATAAATTTTGCTTTATACACTCGGGTGTGCAGTAATTTTGACAGTTGTGCTATTTTAAATTCCCAGGCACCTAAAATCTTTTGTCCTTAAAACAATGTCGATTTCTTGGGATATTCCGAGGTTGCGTTTTTTATACACCCTGTAAAGTAGATTACGGTTAATTTGAATTTGAAAGGGTGTACGTTTTTTTGAACACGCTGTACTGTATATATATGTAAGCGCCTTTATGGTGTTTTTTTTTCGCTTTTGCTTTCGTCGCAAGTTAATTGGAGAGCGCGAGTGTCAAACAACGATAACCACTAAGCGGTATATCGAATGTCATCAGGTTTATCCATGGACAACAACATCGAGGCCATGTCGACTTCTACTGAATCTATTCACCATGTTTGTGGCTTGAAAGAATCAGATCTAAACGAGTTTTTCTTAGCTCACGACCCTGAGTTTAACAACGAAGACTTGCATGACCGCGTTTTGATCTTCGATGTGATGAACGAGCAAAGACAAACCAATAATGCTGTCTCAACTACGACGCCTATACTGGGAGTCAGACTAGAAACATGTAGTATTGCAGTAGAAGTAATTTTGCCGTCCCCTTGCGCTGAAGGAGGTTTAAACCTGAAAGAAATCGAAGTCATTTCAGAACAAGTTAAGGTCTCAGAACGCAAAAGACATTTAGACGATGCCGAACAACAGCAGTCCCAAAATAAGAAATCCAGAGCAGAGTACGAGAGTGACATAGACGAAAATATAGGCACGGCTGTTCCTATCCAAGTCGAAACAACTACCGAATTTGGAAATGATAAGCTATGCACAAACGAGAATATGGCGGAATATGACTTTGTGAATTCAGAACCCGTAACTATACGCGCGCACAAGATATTCGTGCACGCGACATTCCTAGCCGTACATAGCAAGTACTTTCGAGCAATGTTTTACTCGGGAATGAAAGAAGCAACGTCTAAAGAAGTGCATATCAAGATACATGAGTCCGAAGAACAAAGTCATTTAAAAATGCTTGAAGCCATATATCGTCCATATATCCTTGATAATTCATCCATGGAGGAATTGTTGATTTGACACCTGATTTGAGGTCAGGTGTCAATTGGGACGCAAGTCCTGTTCCTTTCCCCAGTCACACTTATGTCCTCTGTTTATTGTAGATGCATGCGTAATGATTGTGTTGTGACAAATGATTAAATTAAATTAAATTAATTGTTACAGATACTTGAACTGGCTGATAAGTACGATGTAACGTATGTATTCCGGAAGTGCAAATACGTAATACATAAATGCAATCTTAGCATTGCTGACTGCGAAATGATCATTAACTGTATCGAAATCAAGCAAAAGATGCCATCCACTTCTGACCTGGCTGAAACCGTAAGAGGATTTTTAGCGAGTGAATTCAATCCATTTGATACAAAATGGGAAACCGACAAGTTTACTAGCTTATCGGAAACATTGCTGCGTGTTTTGTTAGGTTGTGAGAATTTAGAAACACGATCTGAAAATACAATTTTTCATGCCTTGATGTACTGGATTGTAAGTACTGGTTACAACTATCACATTATTCCAAACGAAACGGAATCTCTTTTAAGTCTGGTTAAGTTTGGATTACTCACAATTGACTATCTTTATCATGTCGTACAATACCATCACATTGCGAAAGAAATGCCATCATTCTCAGAGCTGTACCTGAATGGAATCACATATCATGCCTTACCAAGCTCAATGAAAAACATTGTACCTACTCGACCGAAATCTCATGAAAATACCGAGCAGTATACATGGGTGATAACCAAGGATGAAATGGAAGCCTTACGGCAAAAAGGAAGGTTAACCGCGGAAGAAACGGAAAACGAACCAAATATCGCATCCGACAATTGCCTTATATCTCCTAGATTTTGGTGGTGCGGTTATGAGATGCAAATGAACATGTTCCTTACCAAAACTTTCTCATTATGCCTGTACGGGAAGTTGCATTTACTTGTTCATGGCTTGAAGAAAAGAAGTAGACTTCCTGTTAAGTGGTTCATACGATGTGATGAAATTAAATTCTGGCCCACATCTTTCGTTGCATACACGATTTTCACTTTTGAAACAAAGAGTTCAGGCGAGGATGTAATAATACGAAAACGTCCAGAGATTGAGAACGGTCGTTTAGTAGTTCCTCAAGCAATCACTATTGGCATATGTATTAGTCATGATCCGAGCAGACTCCGATAACTGCACGCGTGTGTTAGGAAGACTTCAGAAACAATGCCTATCATAAACTCGTGTTAAACATTTATATAAGGACCCTTTAACTATTGGCTGTTATTAATTCATCCAGTCAAAAGTTAGGCAGTTTAGTTTAATTAGCCTTTCTCACGAAGGCCAAAATCCGCCATTTTGGGTATACTGTCTGCCGTCGTGAAACATTCTAGACAATTCAAACAACGTGAAAAGCGACTTTTAAAAAATGTTTAACTGTTAATTTACCATTATACAAACAACTACAATACTAAAAAGTTGTATTTCATGGTGTGGAGACTCTGAATCGAGGAAAAGGCGGTACCCCCAAAATGGCGGGAAAAGCGGCCGTGAGAAAGCTAGTTAGACGCAAGCACTCCCAGCGAGCTTGCAAATTGGTTTTCGCCAAGTGTAGCAAAGAACCTTATAAAATATATTAGGAACATTTCAAACATCGTTTTCATGTGCCGCATCTAATGGTATATAATTTGTTAAGTTCAATGCTTGAAACAGGCCTTATTCATGTTTTGCATGTTGGTTTGCATGCAACTTCATGTACACGTTTAGGCGTATATGCATATATTTAACTCTGTTCTCTTTTTGATTAAGTAATATAACGACATATTACTATTTTAAAAATACTGTGTATTTTGCATGCTAGCCTACTTCATTTTAAGATAAATAATTGCAGTTAAAATCTTCAAATGTAGAAGACAAAGGTTTGGCTTGTCCCTTTCCTCGACGTGTGTATCACATGCATACGTCGTGTAAACCGCATGGAGAATCAGAGAGAGTCCACATGTAGGATGCTTGTCACCCAATTGCAGAACTCGATATACGACAAAGATCCTGGTTCATGCTGGTTCGTTTCTTTACAAACTAGTCTCTGCATTTATGGCTTAATATAATTGTGGTTTCAGCATAATGAGTCAAGCGCCCCCCCCCCCGTAAATGACTATGCACTATATAGCATCCTTAACAATATTAAATTGCTCTCTATTCTAAATTTTTAGCTCAATTTAACTGTGGTTTAGACGTCATGAATCAAGCAGTTTCCGCCCCTGAAAGCGTACAACAACCTGGTGCACGAGAAAATGTCGCATACTTTACAAACACCGAGAGAAGGTAACTTTTCAATTCGATAAATTATTTAGTCCTACCTCGATACGATAATTGATAATGTATACAAATGAATATAGTATACCACAAAATCGGCTTTCTTCCTGACATGACGTGTCATGATTTTAAGAAATCTTGTGCGCGAATAATAGAATCTTACTTGTGCATCTTAACTCCTGTATAATGTTTTGTTTTGTAAGCTATTTTATGCTGTGTAGAACACCATTCATTTTAGTGATTTTACTTATTATAACTACTTCTTAATTTGTACACAAAGTTAAAAATCTTATTAATAATTCACGAGGAAAATACAAAAGAAATGAATGTTTAATCAATGTTTGTAAATCGGATGAAGATTTGTCCTGATTTACATAAACTTCAGCTATTATTTTCTCGGGTAGCCTCCTCCGCAGGCATCTTACCCGACGAATCGGGTGGTGGGAAAAAGTTTGGTGAGATGCCTGCCATAAATCGACACAAAAATTTGCACTGCGCATACTGGCTCGCGCATGCAAATTTCGACAAACGCAAACTTAGGGGGAGTAGGAAGGGCTTACAGCAAGGAGTGGAGAAATTTTTGTTTTCAACACGATGGCTTATAAAACTAAGACGAATACCTGTAAAGTTGACGAATAATACTGCTCATAAACATTGTAAATACACAGGGAACTTTGACTAAGGAGCTGAGAACGTTAGCGTGAGCCGAAGCATCGATTTACTGGGATTGTTTAGAGACAACGACTCAACGAGTGACTTTCCAGAGCAGCGAATTCACGTTGTTGTCGATTCACGTCAAGACAGGGTGTCAATTGAACGTTTATCGTTGATAATATACAAATTTCTACTCAAATTGTTGACGACATTTTATATCATAATATTAAAGCTGAAATTGCAGTGATTCATTCGAAATTATAACACGAAAAGGAACGAGCGAAAATTATCCATATATAAAATGTAAATTCAACTGTTGACATCTGTGACTGTGCCTTCGGTATCAGTAGGGCGTTTATAAGATAATCTTATAAGATCTTATAAACGCCCTGGTATCAGTTAAATATATACCTAATATTAATGGCCCTGTTTTATATATGGGTGTGAGTAATACCTAGACATATATAAGGGAATAGACATAAAGGAATAGAAAAGACAACTGGAATTTAATAGGAATCTAATAGTTTTGCAAGTGACGGTTTAATAGGGTTTATGTGACATTCATCTTGCTTGCCAAAGTTCACAGGCAAAATATTTACATGGGTAAAATCCATCAATTTTGCAAGGCAAATTTCCATGTAAGTTGTAGCCACACAAATAGTCACTGAGGAAACTTCCCAGTGATAGTTAGTGTTTTGCTATTGTTATATTACACAGCAACCACCCAATTCCAATTATTGAACTATATTAATTGTAAGTTTACAACAATTAATACATTTAGTAAGCTTTAGCAGGGATGGATCCAGCATGATCTGGTAGGGGGGGGGGGGTGTGCTATGCCAGCTCTGGTGCTGAGTTGTATCGGGTCATGTGTGCCGCCCGCCCACCAACTTGCTTCACTACTGCAAAGTCTTGCTTGACTATTGTATTTGAATTGTAATTGTCGTTCACAGTTCGCTTATCATCATGTTATTACTCATATTACTGTATCTCATTTTGTCTCTAATAATTTTTGCTTATCATGAAAAATAGCACCTCCTCTGCACCCCCTCTGGCCAGGGCTAGGGGGGGCACCCCCCTAGTAAATCCATCCCTGAGCTGCACTCGCCCATTGAAGAGTAAAATTGTCTGATGTTAGACAGAGTGAAAGCAGGCACTCCCCTGCCAGCTAGGGATGAGACAACGAGAACTTGTTGTGGGCCCCTGACATTGTAGGCTCTTACATGAAAAACCTAGATATACTATATTTTAAACCAATATATGTCAAGAGCAATTTTATTTGAACATGAACAAGGGAGATACATATAATTAGACTAATTAGAGAATATGCAGATACATCATAAATTCATTTATTTATCAAATCATGGATCATGTCATGTGGCCAGTAAGTGTAACACAACTAGGCATATAATATATTAGAAAGAGGTTGTTACATATCATGTGCCAACTGCTTTTCACAGGCATGGTGCCACAATGTAACTTAATGGATTTAGCATATTTACATGATATTAAGGGGGTAAGGGAGTTAAAAAAACTGCAATTCCAATTTAACTATTCAACCAAGTGAAGCCTGGTTCACATATACCTACTGTACGTTGGCAGGCTATTGTCGTTAGAAGCTCACCCAAATAATTCACAAAAGAATGTATGCATCAACAGCTGTAAACAATGATAGTGCAGGCACAGAGGTGCAGGCATATGTAAACCAAGCAGAAGCTTATAATTTATTAAGATGCCAACAAAATCTTGATGTTCGTAGTAATCAAATTTCTGTATTTGATATTTCTCTCCTCACTTATTCAAATGGTTGCTTCAACAGAAAGATCTTTTCCTTCTATATATATCAATTCACTGAGCATGTTGCCAAATGCTTGATGATTTGACTAAAATGAGTGAAATATAATCAAAATTCAACCCCTTTGACATGTCAAAATATTATTCCAGAAAACAATACAATTTAATATAATCCCTTTATTAAACAAATTATACCTTTCGTATCGTCCCATTCTTCGTTTCGCATTCGAAATTATGCCAGATAATTTCCTCAAATTGTAGTTCCTCGGCTGAACAATGGAGCGGAACTCTGAACCCATACATTCAATACATATAATTTTGTATTTTTGTAGACATATAAATTTGTAAACACTTGGCTGCTTCGAGCGAGCGATTCAGAATTTGCACGTCGTTTTTAGACCGCGGGAGATATTGCGACATATAATCCTTTCAATTGACCGACTAATTTTCGTATAGCTTGAATATTTCGACGCATTATAAAACATTTTTAAAGTTTTTAATGTTTTTTAAAATCGCAAGCTTCGCTCCTCGCCCGAAGATTTCAAACTGAATATATAATAAAGGGTCAAAAGCCTACTTAGGGGGTGGGGTACATTGACACGGCCACTTGGTACATTGACACGTCCATTTTGTTCGATTTATGGCAGGCCTCTCTCCCAGAAATTTTTTTTTCAAACTCATTCGTAGACTAGAACCCATAGAGAGGCCTGCGGAGGAGGCTATTTCTCGGGTTAGACAATGTTTATTTTTAAATTTACTTCGCCAATTAGATGGCTAATATAAGATGGATTTTTGAATTTACTTCGCCAATAACATTCGCATCCGATCTTTATCTGATATACAAACTCTCGCCTTCGGCTCGAGTTTGTATATATCAGATAAAGATCGGCTGCTCATGTTTTAACTCGTACTTGTAATCAACATTTTATGACAAGTTCCATTTGTATTATTTTCAGAAGAGAAGCAGAAGCTATAGTTCATCTATTGGGAAACCAAGACCACAAGTACGTAAAACAAATATTCGCGTGTAAAACTAGAACTATAGAACATTTTCATCTTAATATTTATGTATATATATAAATAAAAAATATTCAGGACTCTTAATGAACGGCTGTAGTGGGAGGACAATTAGCATGTAGATTTTAATCAACTAGCTTTCCGTATTGTTTATAGTATTCTTAATACATACTGGGCTTTTAAATTTAGCATTTTCTCTATAATACATTTTAAATCAGATAAACACTTGTATATATATATAAGACAGATATTTTACTGTAAATCATCTCCACTGAAGAAGCCGTAACAGGCGAAACGTATAGAAAATAAATATTTTTATAAATTTATGTCTGAAGAAGCACTACAACAAAAGCTCATATTAGTCCAGCATGTTTCCTCCAACACATTCATATAAAATTATATACCGGGTGTCTCAAAAAAAGTATCGGTGTTTAATTTGTTATACCGTTAATACTGGACAAGGAGTTTCAATCAAATAGATTTCACTGAATTCAGAATGGCCTAACTTAAAATTGATATATGATTCGAAGATATTTGGGCAATATTGAATGAAATTCTACAGTTTCATTTCAAAGAAGCAATTTTGAAAATGCTTAAAATTACATTAAATCGGCCTATGAAATTAACATTTAATTTAATGCTGTTCTTGTCAACACAACGCACGATAAATAATATTTACACATTCGATGATTTATTCATCTGACAAATGATTTCCTTGAGCACCTACTGAACGTCGTGCTCTGTTAACCATGCCAGAGAAAGCGCTTTGTATCATTTGCATGTGCATCTAAACTTTGGCACGCTAAGATAACTGCCTGGCGGAGCTGTCTCAAATTCCTAGGCTGCTGCTCATGCGGGACGTTCCAGATTTATTGCTTCAAATCGAACTTTGGCATTCGGATTTTTCATTTCCCATGCACAAGGCCCAACGGTCAAAATATTTTATGTAAACCGTCAAATAATACAAGATTGAATCTAACTTCTTTAAAATT